TCCCCTTTCAGCAGGATGGATTAATCCTATCACCCAGGGAAGGAAGTGAGTTGTTGATGAAGTTTTTGTCTTATCATATGTGCTGGTATGTTTGGGGTTAATACTGGTATTGGTTTTTATGTGTGTGTAGGGCAAACTTGTCAGCTTTCTGTTGGTTTGTTCATAGTTAGCGCTTATCACAAGTTGGACCTCTTTCATATGTGTGGCTAATGATATCACACATATACAAATATGAGATTTTTGACACAACCGTGTAATACTGTTTGCACATTTGCCTCCTTTGTGGAAAGCCTTCACTATAAAGTTTCTTTGTGCTAGTGGTCATACAGAAGAGAACATTTGGTATGGATTAGAACCAAGAGCTTATTTCTTTCAAACCTAATTTAATTTCTGTATTAAAGCAAAATAAAATTTATAAGGAATTCTGTTATCAGGAACAATAGAAGCTTCTTAGTCATTGTCTTTCATAATTGCTCAACAAATTTTGCATAGAATAAGATAGTAAATTCTTATAGGTAAGTATACTTTTTTATTAATTCTGGAAGGGTTCTTCCACTTAAAAATAAGTATGTAATATCAAATATATAAATATCTGTAAGAGGTGAAAGGAACGAATGGTGTCCTGACAGCAGCTTTTTTTCAGACTGTTGGACTCCAGCTCCTGTTTTGAGTCATCACATAACCCAACCAATAGCTATGTTGGGATTATCAGAAATGGCATCTGGCACATCTGGAGACCAAGGAAGGCACTACCAATTCTTCTTGAACAACCTATGTTTATCCTCATGCAGAGAATCAGAACCTGAGAGATTTGTAGACACTGATGGCCTCTTTAGTTTTTGCAGTACTGCTCATATTTCAACATCATTCCAAGCTTAGTTTTTGCTACACTCTCCTCAAATTTTCTGTCCATTCTTTCACTCTGGCTTTCTGAGAAGACAGATGTCCAATCACCTACTATGCCTAGAAAAAGAAAAGGAAAAAGAAAGAAAAGAAGAATTATAGTGGTAGGTGGAGGGTGGGAAGCTAAGGGGAGAGAAAGTATTTCTCCCAAAGAATAGCTATTCTTCAAACCTCTGTGGAGTTTCTCAGTCATCCAGGTCATAGTTGTCTCAAAGGCAATTGTTGTTTCAAAAGGCAATTGGACATTTGTTTTCCGCTTGAGGAAGAAAAAGACATTTTGCTTCTCATCCAAGAAGTTTCATCGGTTCTGGAAGGATGGTAGGGGTGATGGAAGGAATTAGTCTTCTTCTTCCTCAAGAAGAAGAAAAAAAGCCCAATTG